TATATATATATATATATATATATATATATATATACCAATCAGTAGTAACAAAAAATTATCTTGCTGACGATCATAATTTACATTAATGGCACCGTACGATAGACTTTACTTTTTTCCCATAATAAAAAAAAACAAATGTATTCACGCAAAAAAATAAAAATGTAGTTTATTCAAACCCGATGAAGTTTACAGGAATAAGTTTGTCAAAACACTATACTTTGCAGCAGTAGGAAGAACAAATGATCTGACAGAAGGTTATAAAGATCGTCTTAATTAGCAGTTATAAAATAGTGAAGAAAAACAAAAAGAAAACGAGAGATTACTGTTCTGTACTAATTTCCAAAGTGTCTGGTACATCAAACTGAATTCGGAGAAATACGCTAAGTAAAATAGTGGTACCAACAACACAGCGACGAGTACACAACGAGTACATTATGGCATTGCTGACGGAGGAATTTAATGAAGAAGCATATTGCTGTTGCTGTTGGGTAAGTGTCAAATAAACTTCACAAGTTGGCTAAATGCCAAGAGCTTAAGGGCAATCAACGCATAACCAAGGAATTCGTAGACCGAAATCTCTTTACGCATTAAAAATTCTTGTTATTATCGTTTGTATAGGTATACGTGTAACAAAGGTGCTCAGCAATAAAGAAGGCACAGATTTCAAGTTATTTCAAGCATTACTGCTAAACTGCTAATCATAATAGAGCTTGTTTCCAATTATGAAGGTGGAGACGTTAAGGTTGTATGGGCTTGTGTAAAAGAGGCATGGTAAATTGGCAGGTAGTAAGACTTTAACTTTAAAATGCTCATTCCATATTTCTTCATCTATAATGGTGTAATAGGTATAATAGGCAGCTTATGGATTTTAAGTGCAAATCGGGTACACCTTGTCAAATTTGATATTTGTATCGCCGTGTTTCTAAAGAAGCAGCTGTCGACAAGCTAGAACGCCTGAGAAAATGTTTTATTGCTAACAGTAATCAGCTTGAAATTTTGGTATGAACTTTTTTTAACACCGCGCAACTGGTAATAAAGTTGTTGACAAGTGAAGTTAGTTTTTAAGTTTCAAGACAATCTTATAGTTATATTTTGCATTTTTAAACAGCAGGTACCGTACGATTACGTTTATGTGCTGACAAACGCCTGTTCAATGGCTGTGGTATTTAGTTCAAGAGGACAGTGAATTTGTATGACTTCTAGCTAGATAACTCACTTGCGTTACCAAAGGCAGAGGATGCATTTGAATGATTAATAATAATATGTCAATATAGCTTTGCAGTTGAGACGGCTGTTAGCATTTAATCGAATATGTGGCTAAAGCTCGGCTTAAAGGACATTTGGAAACCTGGTGTATTAATTTTTCGTACAGTAAATGCCTCAGAAGTACTGACAGGAACTCAACTACAAAGAAGAATTCTGATTTCCGCTCGAGTAAAAACTTCGTCTCCCAGAGGTCTGTTATTAAAGCTTCTTTTACTTTCAAATCTTCGGTATTCCTAAAAAGTTTCAATGCAGAATTGGTATTTATGGAGCAGTGAAAGTCTCTGTCGGGGGATGTTATCATTGTTTTTTTTTTTAAAAAGAAATAGTCTAATTTTCCTTATTATCCACCTCTATATTGGTGCCTTCTGGACTACTCAATATCTGCATTGATTATAGTTTTATGAAACCAGATTTTTTAAAGACGCTGTATTCCATTTGTCGATTCGGAAGGCTTGTTCGGGCGAACTCAGTGTAGCTGATTATGAGAAGAAAGCTACATCTACGATGAATTTTTTGAGCGACTTTTTTGACACGTTACCAGAACTGGTAGAATGCGATAAGGACTACGATGTAGATTATGCAATGGGCGTTCTAACGGTGAAAGTGAGTGAGCAAGTTGGTGTCTACGTTATTAATATGCAGCCTCCAAATAGACAAATATGGCTTTCATCGCCAATTTCCGGTCCAAAAAGGTTAAACTTTAAATTGCTTCAGTAACATTGTTAGGGTCACTGTTGCTTTCTGCCTGACGACCCTATTGCGAATATCTATTAAAAGGAAGTTCCATTAGTTGTAGCCTGGCAAAAAATGGTTTTTTATTGGTAAGGAGTAAGTACTTTGAACCTTTAGGCTGCAGAAATTTTAGGTATGATTACGTAAATGGGAACTGGCTCTGTTCTCGCGATGGTGTTTCGCTTGACGATATTTTAACCAAAGAATTTAGAGGAATATATAAATGTGATAAAATTACCATCAAGTTAGTGTGAGGGCCTTTGCCTATCTCAAGTTCTATTTCTGTTTCCTTGTAATTTTGTACTTACTAAAGACTTAGGAAGTGTTATTTTGGGTTCCTGACTTAGGCAGTGGAACAAGCATGATTTTCACGCTTCCAATCCCATATGTAAATAATTAGTAAAGTGTGATTTGTATCTCTGTTCCAAAAGAATTCCTCTGTTTTTTTTTTTTCTAAATTTAGGTGCCATTAATTTGCCTAACCTGTCTTAGTGCAACTTTGAATATTGAAAAGCACTATTCCGGTTACAGCTATGAATGAAATAGTCATTAGTACCTGTAGCAAATATATTTTGATGTTGTACTGTTGATCGGTTACTAGGTTATTTAAGTTTTAAACTTCTGGTTGCTGTTTAGAATTCTAGTAGAAAGATTGGTTTTGACTTTGATATCTATTTTTAGTCTGAAATTCTGCATGTTTTAGATAAATGTTAAGTTTGTGTATTGTTTATATGTCTAAATTGCCGACAGTTTGGATGAATATACTCAGTTGAATGTTCCTCCTCATCATTTCTGGTTCAGTTCATTATTATCGTGGTATTATTGTAGTCGAAGATTTTTTGGCATTTCAATTTTGCTTCGTGCGCAGCATTTTCCAGGTAGAAAAAGAATCCAGGAGCACAATTCAGGTATTTGTCGATGGCTTTGAACAGGAATTTTTTTACAACGTTGAGATTCGTTCAAGGCAGATCTGCTTGGTTTTGTAAGCGGCAGTTAAGTTCCATGAGGGCTTGGGTAGTACGGGATTTCTCAGAGGGAATAGCGCTTGAAACTGATTTACGTGTCCCTGAAATTACCCATCCAAATCACGTCCTTATAAAAGTCGAAGCAAGTGTCTTTTTAGTTTCAGCGTACATTTACTAAATTTGTTAAATGATTACATTAACTATTTATACGCATTATATGCCGACGCAGTTAAAAATAATGTTTCTGGAAATTGTCGGTGAACATCTCTTTAGATTAATGCTGCTCGCTCTCAACCACTTTTTTAAAAAAGTTTTCAGGCTGCCAGCGTAAATCCTATTGATACAGTTATGCAAAATGGATATGGTAACACAGTCTTTTCATATTTGAAACAATTTGAAGAGTGTTCATTAACGACACCGTCGCGATTGCCATTTATTGGTGGCAGAGACTGTAGTGGAACTGTTGTATATAGAGGGCGTGAAGTGAAGAAGTTTAAGGAGGGCGATGAGGTGAGACAGAGCGTTGTTTGCAAAAACGTAGCATATCTTTTTATAACCTCATTTAATGTTTAAGGTGATGGGTGTTATTGGCGGAACTTATGCAGGCTCGCATGCCGAGTACGTATTGGCTATGGATTCATGGCTTGTTCCAAAACCCAACAACATTTCTTTTGTAGAGGCTGCCTCCCTACCTTATTCAGCTTGCACAGCATGGTCTGCTCTCGTTAGTGTAAGTCGGAAAAAGTCCTCTTATCTTTTTCTGATAGTTGTTAACTTGAGGTGTTTGAATTAGTTACCTGGTGCAAATCTGATTTTACAAAAATTGTTAGGTTGCACGTATTTGTCCGGAAAACCCTGGGGACATACGAGTGTTGATTCACGGTGGTGCTGGTGGAGTTGGTACGGTAGCTATTCAGATGCTGAAGGCTTGGGGCATTCCAGTAGTTGTTTCAACTTGTTCATGTGACAGGTATAAGGTTATCCGGAATTGATTTTACAAGCAACAAAGTTAAAGTGGGGAGAACCAAATGTTTTGAGAATTTTGACAATTTCTTTGAAGAGAAAATCATAGCTATGAATTAGTGATTTGAGGAGTGGTATTAAATTTTCATGTTTCTACTGTTTGGAAAATATGGGCTGTTCTTTTTAAGTTACGCTCTAGTGCAATCTCTTGGAGCTGTACCTGTTGACTACAACGATGAAGTAACCGCAAAGGAAAAACTTGTTAAGTATGGCCCGTTCGAAGTTATAATGGACTGTGCGGAGTCTGACCTTGCGGAGTGGAGTGACAATGTTTTAGGAATTTGGCGGAACTGTATCCATGTGTCTGTAATTAGTCCTTTGTTACACGATGCAGACAGGTTCAGCATTTTGCAAACTAATTTTTCTGTTACTACAAGTGTGCATTTCTAACTGACTATTACGACGAAATTACAGATACGGACTGGTACCAGGGCTTCTATCTGCAGCTGCAAAATACTTTCGACGATCGTCACTGGTACTTTCAACTAGCATACAGCGATTATAAATCATTTTGAACTTCTTCAAAAATTATACTGTCAGCAAAGTATTTTCACTCTGCAACTTGGGAAATCTCACATTTATTCCAGCCGGCTCTCTCTGGAAGATGGTTCTCTTACGCCTTTTTTGCACCGCATCCCGAGTGTCTTACACAACTTAAAGAGTACGTTGAGACCGGCCAGGTCAGCTTCCATTTCCCATCAGATTTCACATTTTTTCCTCGCAAATTTTACAGTTGAAAAAAACACCTTTACAGTGATCCACCGTTCTAGGTGAAACCAATCGTTGAGGCTACTTATGCTTTCGAGGACATACCAAAAGCATATGAGAAAGTTTTTGAAAGACACGGAAGAGGTAAGACGGTTATTGATTTCACAAAAGAGCCTGAAGCACGTAGTTCGTTAGAACTACCTGAAGACACCAATCTCGGAACACAGGGACTAATTGATGACAAGGATTTTATTGCAAACGAACAGCTTCCTGCCGACTCGGAAGTCCCACCAAAGGAAACTGCTTCTTCAAAAGGTTCTGAAAACAAACCGCAAAGTCCCGACCGTGCTTTTTATGATAGCAACACAACTTCTGAGACCAAGCAGTCACCATCGAAAGAAATAAGAGACCAAAGCTTCAATGCTAGTATAAAGCTGAGCACAGCTACACCTACTGATAAGAAGTCAACGCTGACGAGTTCATCCGATGGTGTTCCTGTCTAGCTTTCTGTCTCAAGGAAGCGCATATTTTTGTATATATAGGAAGAGCTGGTTAGTGTATCTAGATATCTAAATAAAAAACTGCTTCGTTGCTGCTTCAAGTCTACAATCACGTCCATTCAATGAACTTAGTGTTCCTTGTTTCACAAGCCTTAGAAGCAAAATAGTCATTCAGCACCTCAGCGATTTCAGTGTATTAGAACATATAACCCTTAGCAACAAGGTCTGCCAACCATTTTAGATTTTGATCCTTTGTAGGACGTCTTATGTACTTCCTACTTCCCCATTATAAAACCGTATCAAAATTTAAACCACTTTTTAGGAAAAACCAATTTGATTACGGTAATGTTATAATGACTGTAATAATAGTAGTCAAAAAACACTTGCAAGTCACACCAGAAAGATATACAGAGTTGATGAGAACTTACTAAAAGTCAAGACTTGGACAAATGAACCAAGACAAACCAACCTGCAAACCCCTCGTTTCCATGACAAAAAAATGTCTGCGAACAAAAAAGAACTAGAACTATGCCTAAATAAAAACTGGTAGGTTAACAGCGAAGACAAATATGAGGAATGTCTTCTGCTGGGAGAGGACAAGAATGACCATGAAGAACTTTTATTGGAACAAAATTCACCGCGCAACAGATGCAGGAAAACAAACTGCCCCAAAACAACAAACACTTTGAAATGGTGATTATTTTAGAGGGATAAACCGTGAAGAATGTGTTGCACCAATACCTGGGCGACCATGCTTCACAGGTTTGTAAGATATTGAGAACTCTCCAAGATAGTGTCCAATCATTTCAGGCTTGATTTCGACCTTAAAAGACATTCTAGTTATTCAAAGACGATTTGAAGTCCCAAAATTATTTGAAAAATTAAGTTTAACAAACTATCGCTTATAAACAGATATTCATTTGACGACTTCGTCTCATAAAGTACATTCACATTTCCGTACACATGAGGGATTGTTTTGAAGCTTTTGGGCTGACACAACAGGACATCAACCGGTTTAAACATTCAATTATTCTTTCGCACAAGTAAAAAATTGAAAGGACTAATAAGTTGGTCCCCACAGAGTGCCTTGTGCCAATAAGCAACTTTTAAGGCATTATCTTTAACACAGGAACACGATGCCAACGACAAGAAAACTTAAGTAGAAAGGCTTGTAGAGATTACCTGGTTGAAAACTTTGCCATTATAAACGCCGACCATAGACCCAACCATCTCCGGCAAAACTATCATGTCTCGTAAATGAGTCTTAATAGTAGCTGGTTTCTCCAAAACTGGTGCGTTCTTTTTCGCCTTTCGAAGTCGCTTTAGAAAAGCAAGATGTTTTCGTTTCAACCCACGAGCCAGACGTCTTCGTGCTCGGCAGGGCAGCAACTTAGCCAGTTGGTCCCTACAGTTATGTGCAAATTAGGTGCAATAAAAAGCAACATTCTTAATCTTCAAAAAATATAAAAACCTATCGCTACAACCCATTAATGTTTTAAAAGCTAGATAAAGTTTCAATATTTCTCTCAAAGTACCTAGCATTGTCGGATCAAATAAACGAAACAACAATGCGAAAGTAGGTCCGATATTCAAAAAAAGCCACAATTCTTGGTAAACAGTCTTCTACTGACCAAAATAATAACAATTACAATGTAAACTAATGCGGGAATCATAACCATATAAAAGAAATACGGAAAGAATTCCAGGTGGGGCAGTGAACAAAACTAGCAGGAAGTTCTGGCCATAAAACGACAAGCCCTAACTAAACAATCTGCAAACAAGCGCGAAGAAATACTGTGAGTTGCCGGCTTAAATCCACGCTACCTCACCTGCTCATGTCCAATAACTGATCAAGATCCACTCCGCGGTAACTGAATTTACGGAAAGTTCTCTTCTTCTTCAACTCGGCTAATGCGGTTTCGTCTTGCGCACTCGCCATGCTTGCAACTGACAGTCCAATAACCCCAACCACAGAAACCTGTAGAGCAAAAATTGAATTCGGATAACCACTTTATTACAAGACGGAAGCCTTTCGTTCTTATATGCCGCTTCAAACGATGAAAGTACTACAGAGAGTTAACGTAATATATTTTGCTTAAATTCAAATCCCATTCCTAAATTTACCCAAAAGACTGCTTATGGTAATGCAAAAGCAAAGACAGGAAGGACAATTAAAATGAGTGATTTAAAAAAAAAACAGTAACGGGACTCTTCGAACTTATAATAGTGATTAAGAGGGAAAAAACTAAGAAAGTTACAACACCACTAAACCCGTGGAGATGAAACTTCGAAGCAACACAACAGTTAAACGAACACAGAAATCAAATAAAAATTCCCGACTGGGCAAAGGCTAGAGTTCTGCTCAATTTTAGGGGCCGTATCTGCATCCAAAGTACAGTATGCTGAAAAGCTGCCAAAAAGATTCATTCAAAATGATAAAAACAAGTTGTCTCTCACAGCGCAAAAGCAAACTGCTGTTGTCCGCTTCCTAAACGCATTTAAAACTGAACACAACCCTTTATAATTTCCTGCCGCCCCGTCTTTGCCTAGACATTGGGTTTGCGAAACAAATTTTTTTGTTAAAAGTACACTGTTGGTGTCCTAGCCTCAAGGGTATGTACGGAAAAAACAGATAATTACCACATGCTTTTCTGATTTGGAAAGAACCAGTATTTCAGAACCACAGTATATGGTAAACGCTGGTCATGGCTCTCTCTGAAGGACTTTTAGATGACCTCTTGATAAATTGGACTCCTGAACGCTCATCTGCACACTTGAGTTTGCAGACTTTTCGACTCCAATATTCAGAAAAAACTTTAAGATTCACCGTCATTTTATTCTTTTCCTTAACGAAACCATCTCAATAAACTTGTTTTTACTGATACGTAAGTTCTGCCCCTAATAAAGTACTCCGTGTACATTACCGACTTTTGAAACGTTTTGCTCAGTTTTTTGCTTGGGTATATTTGGTTATATATTATATATTTGGCCCCGCATTGAAATCACATTAAAACAATTTATTTATGAAACGTCAAAAATTTGCGGCAGAATTCCATCAATTGTCATCAACCAAAAATATGACAAATCAAACCGTCTGCAGCAATTGAAATAACAAAATACTAAAAACGAAGAATTATAAAGCATCGAAGATTCCATCGTACGGAACACCATGAAGCCCCAAAAAACTCTTAACTCAGAACGCTCTTTCAACACGATAACTACAGGTTCTCCTTCGCTTTCCGCATCACAACTGTCACCCAAATGTTGTAAAGATGGTATTGCTCATTTTATATCGTAGATATTCATGTAACTCATATGGCAGTTACGTACATCAATGAGTTACAGTAAAACTGAAAAAAACACAAAGACTTTTGCGTTTCTAAGCTGTAACGACGGAGTCAATCTGCATTCTGGTGGACAGCAAAAGCGGTCCCGACGACCATACCTTTTTCACTAGCTGAAAAAAAAAAAAAAAAACTTAAATTGAAAACTGATTAACAGTAAAAATCACTGAAAAAGAGACATTGCTGTGGTCTAAAACATATATCACAATGAGCAATTAGCTGAAAACGATTTCATTGCGGTGTTCGCAATATAAGTTCCTGTACTGTCTGGTAGAAGTTTAGGTCCAAGGCAGAAAAGATAGAACAGTTTTACGAATTTTCAGAAAAGATTTGAAAAGTTTCACTAAATTGGAACAAGAGCAACAAAGCGTACAAGATCTGATATAACCCTAACCTCACGCAGACACAGGCTGTAATTACGATGTGGGATCCATGGCTCAGACGAGCGACCACTAACAAAAATTGGGGGCTTAAACTGCTTTTCAGTAACCATAAAATTCAAAAGCAGCGTAAAACACTGCGGAATCTTTTCAGCTATAATTTTAGCGGGTTTTGGAATCCATTGCCATAAGTCGTGCAGGAAAATACTAAAAGCTAAAAAATTGCATAAGGCAAAAACAAGCACGACAAATAACTGTCAAGCGCAACCACTGAACCTTTACCGTTTAAAGAAAAGAAGGTAAGGTAATGCAATAGAACGTTCTTGTAAAGGCGTAAAGTCAACAGTCCATGAATCGGCAGTTTCCTAAAAAAAAAACTATCAGTTAGGTAAAATTTCAGAAAATGGCAATCTTTATCAAAGGAATCATTTTACTTGGTGGACAGCTCCATACAACCCAGCTAATCTTCCTGGTTCTGACCTTGCAACACGATAAATATTAGTCAATTCCTGTTTCGACAGGTTTATGCGTTCGTCAAAAAGCAGGATGAAATCTCCCACCAGCTTATCGTAATTTAAGTACGCAACAGAAAACATGGTTGACTGATCCTAAATTAAGTCTACTATAAAGCGTATAAAAAAGAAACATTGATATCCAACCGTAGAAGGGACGAGTATAAAAGTTATGGTTTTGCCAGTTTCCGTCAAAGAGCTGTCTGGTGGAATGCCTCGGCTGGACGGCCAAAAAACCAAGACCTGCAAGTTTCATAAATTGATGTGCAGCCCCTCCAAATTTATTTGCATGCCATCAATCTGAGTAAACATTACTTTTTGGATAAATGGAAGATCTAAAAGCATTTGAATATGGCGATTTAGACGGGCGGATACTTTGGCTGTAGCTTGTAGGATAACAGTGCACCCCTCTTCTTTAACGTCAGTATTCTGAGCGAGAATATTATACGTCTCTGTATTCCACTGACGAGGAGGTAATCCTTTCTGTTTATTTATGCGTTCCTCTACAATCTTAAAAAGGAGTTATCATGGATTTAAAAAAAGACAGAAAGAGTGAA